GCCGGGCCCGGCCGGCCGCCCCCTGGCACGGGGGAGGAGTCTCCGCGCCCTACGCGGGCCGAGCTCGGAGGCGCCGGTCCCTTAAGCCGCACTGGGGGGCGGCCCGACCCGAGCGGCGGGGGGGGGCCCCCGCTCGCCCCCCCCCCCCGGGGCCCGGGGCCGGGTCCCGCCGAGCGCGGCGGTGCCCCCAGCCCCCGGGCAGCCGGGGCCCGGAGCAGCGAGCAGCGTGCGTGGGCACCCCGCGGGCCCTCACTCCTGGCCGGGGTTGGGCTTGATGAGGCCGTAGGCCACCGCCTGCGCCAGGCTCTCCGTGGCCGCCTGGGCCACCCGCGGCTTGTCCTTCTCCTTGGCGAGCACCGAGAGGATCTCCAGCATCTCGCTGGCGATGAGCTGCTCCGCCACCTCCCGCTCGGCCGCCATCATGTTCATCACCACCACGGCCCCGCGGTGCTGCAGCTCGGCGCTGGGGCTCAGCAGCAGGGCCTGCAGGATCTCCAGCCAGTGCACCGTCTGCGGGGGGAGCGGGGCCGCACTCAGCACTGCCCCCCGACAGAGGGGGGCCAGCTCCCCGCAGCCCCGATGGCTCCCCGACACCCCCAGCCCTGGCTCGGAGTCAGGCTGAGGTCAGGACAGGCTGCTCCGTCTCCTGGGGCTGGGACACAGCTCCAGGACACCAGGAGAGGGAATTTGGGACACTAGGTGCTGTCCCCGGGGGTCCCGGGTGCCCCCCGCTGCTGGGCACTCACCACCTGGGGGATCCGCTTGCAGATGGGGGGGTGCAGGGCGGTCAGCATGGCCAGGGTCCCTGAGGCTGCCCGCCGCAGCTTCTCGTCCTCCTCCCCGCTGTACAGCACCATCAGCTTCAGCCGGTCGCTGCCCTCGGCGGCGCAGCCCGGCGCAGAGCCCAGTGCGCCCCGGCCCGGCCCTCACCTCCTTGCTCATGGCCATGTTGCACATGCACTCCGTCGCAGCCAGCCGGATCAGCTCATGCTCCTCAAACATGTACCCCTCAATCATCGGCACGGCCTTCTCCTTCAGGATCTTCTGCCTGCGGCGGGGCGCGTGTGAGCAGCGTGCCCCCGGGCCAGGCCCCCCCCCTCCCCCCCGACCCGGTCCAGCTCCGCGCTGGCCCCACTGCCCCTACCGCAGCCTCTCGCTGATGCCAGCCAGGTTGGTTAACGCCATCAGCCCCTCGAAGTTCTCCAGGCCTGTGCGCTGAAGGTGCAGAAGGCTCACCAAGGGCCGGACCACCTCGTAGATCTGTGGAGACAGCAGCGCAGGGCTCGAGCCCTGAGCGAGGGGCAGGGACTCTGCACCCCGTGGAGCAGGGGGTGGAGGGAGCCCTGAGCCCAGCCTAAAGGCAGAGCTGCTCCCGTGGTCAGGCCTAAGCCATCGGGCCTTTGCGGGGAACAGCAAGGGTCTTGCCACCTCCTGCTCCCCAGGGAAGGGCAAACCCTTGCTGGCAGTTCCTGCGGTGCAGGATCATCAGTCCTGCGGCCTTCAGCTCCGGGGCTGCCGAGCCCCTTCCCGGCGGGCGAGGAGGAGCAGAAGCCCACCCTATCCCAGATGCCGCACAGAGGGACCCAGGCAGCTCCTGCCGGGGCAGCCCCTCCTCGCGCTGCTCAGCCCCATGCCTCCCCGGAGCAGACGTAGGCCTGGCTGTGGGCGGCCGCGGG